AAAAACTGCAACACAATGATCACAGGGGCCTGGTTGCTCAAACAGCTATTGGGGAAAGGCCTAGCTGAAAATTTCTGATTCCAGACCAAAAAAAAAAAAAAAAATGGTAATTTGTTTTGTTGTTGTGGTTTTTTTTTTGGGGGGGGGGAGCAGGGCAGTACCAGGGAATCGAACTTATGACCTAGCATTTGCGGGGCAGGTGCTGTGCTGCTGGCCCTAACACATGATAATTTTGACTAAAGCAGGACTTAACTTCCTAAGAGTAGTAATGCCCTGAGATACAGAAGTCACCTCAGTTGTTCCAGGTGTAGGTGTGCACACATCCATGTGTATGAATAAATTTTATAAGTTAAAGGAACACTGCCTTTGAAAAGCACAGTCAAATTGGCAGCAGTAATTACCATTGAAGAAATGTTTGGATGGGCCGGGGATTTAGTTCAGCAGAGTAAGGCCTGCCTGACAAGTGCAAGGTCATGGGTTCGATCCCTGGTACTCAATAGAAAAAGAAAAAAAAGAAATGTTTGGATTAGAAGGAGAAAAAAATGAGGAAAACGGGAAAGGAAGGAAGGGACAAGAAATAAGGAATAGAAAAAACCTGAAACAAAGCTTTTAGAGAGACTGAAGGGACGGGGATGAGAAAAAAAAGAAGCAAGGTATACCATGCCCAAGTACAGATTCCCTACGAAGAACATTTTATATGTATGTATACACTAAAATCTACCAATAAAAATAAACGCAAAAATTTTACAGGTACTTACTATGGCAATATATAGGTAAGAGAGGGAGATTTGTCCTTTCCCCTTACATAGCTTAAATTCTAACAAAGTTCACAAATTCTCCCCACCATGAACTAATCTAAGACAGGAAAATTCTGGGCTCAGGGAGCACATAGCCCTCTGGTGCATCTCAAACTACTTGGCCAGTACCAGATCCCGCGGGAACATAGCCTCAACAACTGTCCACGCCACGGCACACTTTGGGAAACAGTAGAGCTGAATCTGTATGTACTACAAAGCCCTCTGATTTGACTGTGGTTTAAAAGTGGTTTAGATTGGAGCTGCAAATCCAATGCTTGCCTTTTCATTGTGATGCTGAACCCCAGGTCTGATGGTCCCATCCCACAGGAGGCTGCAGGAGGCAGCAAAGTATCTGAGGCCTTGAAGTCACTTTGGTGGGGCTCCTACTGGGCTCTGCAGGCTGGGCAGGAACACTGAGAAGTGGGCTTCAAGAATGGTGAGGAGCAGCTGGTAAGTTAGCAGGGCCTGTGGAAGATGATGCTAACGACTTGCCTGGAGGCTGGTCCTGAGTTGTACCAAAGCTACAGGGAAAGCTGGGACAATGACTCGCTCAGTAGGTGTAAGAGCAGCCATTTAGAACTTGAGAGTTAGCCCTGCAGGAAACTGAACTGTTCTACAGACCCTATTTCTCAAGCTGAGTGCATGGGCTGATGATCAGGAGCCATGAAGGAAAGACTGGTGCCTCAGGAGGCTGCTCTGAACAGGGGAGACCAGGAGCTGTTGGGGAGAAACAGCCTGGGCCCAGATGCAGCTTTCCTATGCTGGCTGAGTCTCTTCCCTTTGTGAGACCTATGAAGACACAGAACCTCAGGAGCAGAGCTAATTAACAAGCAGGAGGGACCCAGTGAGGAGAAGCTAAGGTCATGATCCCTAGTGATACCATGAATGACTTCCTTGGCACTATACCTTGCTTGAAGCCAGAAGCCAGACTTTAAAGCACACACTAAGGGAATCTCCCCTCATGGCAAAAGGAGACTGGGTTTCTCTCCACTCCCATGCTGCAAGTAAACTGGATCAGAGCGGGTGCCCAAGGTCACAGTGCTCATCCAACACCAAGGTCCCGTGTCTCTCGGAGTCACTCAGTACCAGGTCTTATCTTTTCCCGAAAACAACTGTTGCTCACCACTCAGAAAACTATTCGGTTGATTCTCACCCCTGGTTCTCCTTATCACTTGGGCGTGGGGTTTCCCTTTCTGTGGAAATTGGCTGTGCTTCAGCTCTCCTTCCTGCTCTGCATCCCCATCCCATGCAGTCATCCCATCATTCCCATTGGCTTTCATTAATGACTAATGTCAGTCAACACTTTACTCCTCGGGGACCCAGTCTGCAAGAGGAGTCAGCCAAAGAAGACTTCCACTTAGCCTGCCATAGCCTTCATTTCCAGTAAAGTCCCGGAGAACAAGGCATGCCAAAAACTCTGCCTTCATTAACTCCAAGTGACCACAAAGAGCTCTCCATCTTCAAGGTCAGATGTTGGTGAGCCACTGACCACTCTTTCCTCTTGCACTCAGGTAGTATGACGGCCAGCTTGTAGACCCAGGCTCCCCAGCTGATTGTTCATATACATAACCAAGAAGCCAGTTTAGCACTGTCCAACCGAAGGTCAAGGGCCTTCCTCCACATGCGTTGATAAATTCAACAGGTATTTCATGAGCACCAAGTAGGTACTGAGGAAATATTAGTGAAAATCTGAGATGACTATTAGTAAAAAGCACTAGGGAAAAAGTCAAAGAAAAATTTTACAGCAAAAGGAAAAATTTACATAGGTGAGAACATTGGGGAAATTCTCTGGATGACTTTTGCCACACTCTCACAGACCAAGCCCCTACAGCCTGGAGACATTTCTGATTGTGTATTCATCTTATATAAGAATCATGCAGCTAGACCTGTCTATTTACAGCTGTAAATGTGGAGGGAAGCTAGTGCTGGGAGAAAAGGATGTACATGTCCACTGTCATGTGGTATCTGGTCCCAGGTCTCCACCGGCTCAGATGATACCTTAGATCGTTCCCACTACACTCATGGAAACAACTATGTTGTATCAGAAGCAATTTTTTAAACAATCCTAAACAAACAGCAGCAATGTTTCGGAAAGAAAATAGAGTACACACAGGGAAAATTTGTCTTCACATCTAAAACACTTCTATATTGTTAGCTTCTGTTTAGGAGAGGGTTTTGAAACGAAGGAGAGGAAAATATTGGAAAGTGCTATATTTCCGAATGATTTTGCAAGTACTGTAACTTAATTTTCTGCTGGAATGGGCTCATAAATTGACTTATGGGTTGTTTTCTGTTCCATGTTAAGCTCCCGGCACTCGCAGGCATTTTATCTGTGATTGTGAGGATGTCACATAATCATGAAAAGAAAGATGCTGTACTAGAAGAAACACACTTTAATAAATTCTTTTCAATCAGGCTTTAAATGCTTAGAGTTCTACCTGGGCAATTCAGCCAGACCCTGTCTTAAAAGTTTTCAAAAGTGGAGAAAAGCGGAGATGCCTCTCAATAGTAGGGTGCCCTTTAGCTTACTGCTTACTACTGAAAAAAATAAAATAAAATAAAACCCTGCAAGGGATCTTTAGCGATTTCTGCACATGCTCCCCCAAGGTGCTATCCTGGCACTGTCTGGAATTCTGGTCACTCAGCGACAGCAAGGGTGGCAGCACTGACCAACTTAGGCTAACACCTTCTTTAAAAGTTGTCAGTCTCATCAAGTTATCTTGCCCTCTGCCATAATGTTTGCACAATAACTGGCATTGCTAGGATATGCTTTTTGGTGCGTGGGGTGGGCAATCTTCCGTATTTTCAGTCCTAAGCGGAGACCACCAAGCAACACAGATCTGGTTCTAGGACACGGGGGCAAACATGTGCTGGTCACATCTTTCAACGAAATCAGTTTCTGGAGCTTAGCACGCCTCTCTTCCCCAGGGCGCAGGAAACGCGCGTCTGACCGCGGCGGTGCAGCAGGAGGTGTCTGCGGAGGGGTGGGGTGGGTGGGGGCAGCTGCGAGGATCCCCGCGGCTGCCGCCAGCGGAAATGACTTCGAAAGCCCTCTGGGGCTGGGGCTCCCCGGGGCTCCCACCGCCCAGAGCCCACCTCTCGGGTCTCCTCCCCTCCACGCCCTGCTCCCCTGAGGGTGGGGATGGGGGTCCGGGGCGCCACGGTTCTTGCCCGATGTTGCTGCTGCCCAAGCTAGTTCTTAAACCTTTTTTGAGCCGGGGACCCAAAGAAACCTATGGACCTTTTCGAGATGGGGCAGAAGTTTGGAGGAAAATACCGTTTGAAAATGTTGCCCAACTCTCAGGGAACCACGAAGCTGAAACCCAGTTAAGATCCCCGCGTCTAAAACGCCTGGATCGGGTGAGTAAATGAGGCGTGGAGTTCAGGTCCTAAATCCGGTCCAGGACGAACAGGCGCGGGGCGGGCAGGGCAGGGCAGGGCAGGAAGGTGCTCCCAGTCCTCGGCCCCGAAGCAGAGGGCTGTCGGGGAGAGGGAGGGCCCGGAGGAAACAGGAGACGGAGAGGGCACGGTGGGCGGGGGGCAGAGACCGCGGGAGGGGACGGGGACCGGCAGAGCCCGGGTACAACGCGAGAGGGGAGAAAGAGGAGAACGAGGGGAACCCTGCTGTCCCTTCCTAGGCAGCGTCACCGAGCCCTTTCCCGGGGGGAAGCGCGGGCTCGAGACCGGCTGCGCCCGGGGCCTGCGCCTCCCGCGTCCTCCGGGGCTGGGCCAGCGGGTCCAGCGGGTCTGCCGAGGCCGCGGGCTGGAAGGAGGCGGGCCACGCCGCGCTTTCTCCTCCCCGCTCCTCCTCCTGGGGGCGGGCCCCCGGGATTTGAGCGGCGGAGGACCCGCGCCCCCGCCCCCGCGCCCCAATTCAAGAAGCCGCTCCGCTACCCCGGCGGCACAGGGCGCCCGGCGCGCCTCGGAGCGCACGTCCCGCGCCTTCTCCGCCCGCTCGCTGGGCATTATGCGGCCGGGCGGCCGAGCCCCATTCCTGCTCCTCCAGCTCCTCCCGCGGCCCGAGCGGCGCAGCTCTCGGCAGGCGGCAGCGTTGCTCAGCCGAGCGCAGACGGGACCCTCGCCGCGAGACCTCAGCGACTCCTAAAGTCAAAAGTTGGCGGCCGGGGCCGGCCCCGCGCGCTCTCCGCGGCAGCTGCCTAGGCCACCGCGCAGCCAGGGCGGGCAGAGGGAAGGGAGCGGGTGTGGGGAGGGGGGAGCACCATGCAGTTTGTATCCTGGGCCGCAATGCTAATGCTCCTGGTGCGGGACTTGGCCGAGATGCGGAGCCCAGACGCCGCGTCCGCCGTGCGCAAGGACAGGCTGCACCCGAGGCAAGGTAACGAGGCTTGGCCCTGGGACCCCAGCCCCTCCCGAGCTGCTCCCTGGCGGGGGCGCCCTGAAACCCAAGCTCTTTCCTTTTCCTAGAAAGAACTGCCTCTCTTTTTGGAGCCGCTCTCCTCTGGGCCATTTCCAGCCAAGCCTAGGGAGACGCGGGAAACAAAAGTAGCTACCCTCGCCTTTACTTTGGCCTAATCCACCCCTGGCCCCAGATTAAAGTTACTTATGGTAGCTGGGGCCTCCAGATAGGGCATGCTTTTATTCAGGATATTTGTCAGGATCTGAAATTATTTTATGTATCCTGATTCGCTCCCTGTCTGCCTTCCAGTAGTCCCCTCAGCGCCTATCACAGTTTCTGATTTGCTGTTTCAGAGTAGGTGCTCAGCAAATATTTGACCACTGATTACAGGTTAAAGGACTGACTCCAGCGGGCTGGAAAATAAGTCAGGACAAAGCTCCCATCTTCGTTTTAAGTTAAAACTTGCGGGAATGGGAGTCACAGGCTCATATATCTTTGCATCTATCTGCAGTGAAGTTATTGGAGACTTTAAGCGAATACGAAATCGCGTCTCCCCAGCGAGTGAACGCGTCTGGAGAACCTTTTCCCACGAACGTGCACTTCAAAAGAAGGCGACGGAGCATTGACTCTGCCTCTGACCCCCGGCCTGCCTTCGCCTCCTCCTCTTCCTCCTCTACCTCCTCCCAGGAGCATTACCGCCTCTCCGCCTTCGGCCAAAACTTTCTATTTAATCTCACCGCCCATGCCGGATTTATCGCGCCACTGTTCACTGTCACTGTGCTCGGGGTGCCCGAGGTGAACCAGACTAAGTTTTATTCCGAAGAGGAAACTGAACTCAAGCACTGTTTCTACAAAGGCCACGTCAATACCAGGACGGAGCACACGGCCGTCATCAGCCTCTGCTCGGGAATGGTAAGCGTGCCCTCTGCGGCCCCGTCCTCGGGGCAAGACACTGTCGCTCTCTAGCCTGGAGATCTCCAGCCCCGGGGCTCTGCGCCGGCCTTAAGTGTTACTGAGAAACTCGCGTAGGTCCTGGATGGGAGGGAGTAACCCCTGCAGGTGCGCTTACACTCGTGAGGGTCGCACGGTCCGCCCCCAGGGGTGCTGGAGGGTTCGGAGCATTCGGCCGGCCAGAATCGCGCAGCTGTGCGTGGCCCAGCGCTGGCCTGGAAGTGAGCTTCCAGAGGGAGAAGGTTGCAGCAACTGCGCTTTCTGGCAGCAATCTTGGCGCCCCGGAGCCGAGCGAGCGAGTGTAGGTCGTATCCGCCCTCTCCGCACTCCCAAGCTGGGGCTGTGCGCTGACAGTCCCGGCCTGGGACACCGAGAGTTGCCCTGCCTGCTTGGAGGACGCCAGCGCGTAATCCGCTGTCTTCGCGGTCTCTGGGGCCTTTTATTTCGCTGCACCGGAGCTCCGGCAGCCGAGTGGATTGACAGAGAGGCCGTCCTGTCCGGGTGACGGAAGGGTGGGCCCAGGGCTCTGAGGCGGGGACGGGGCGGAGCCGGCCTCCTACCCGGCGACCCCGGGGAGGGGGATCGCAGAGTCGGGGTGCGGCGCAGTCCGACTCTGCACCCTGGTGGCGGGGTGGCCCGAGACGCCGGGACACTGGCAGGAAGCTGCAGAGGCTGCCTGGACGTAACCTCGGGTCTTCTGGAGAGGTCCCGGGACTCGGAAGAACAAGTCTACAAAGCACGCTTCCCTCGGGACGGTGGGCGGGGCGTCCAGATACGCATTTAGCAAGAGATACCCAAGAGGGTCCCTGTAGCGTTTCCCGCACCCCATTTGCCCGCCGCTGAGTCTAACAGGGCACCCCCGCGCCTCCCGCGACATCTGCGGACTCAGAGGAAGGCTCTGGTCCCCCGAGGGTGGTCCCTGACTTTCCCGGGCTACACGCGCTGCTGGCACGCGCGTGTGACGCAGAAACTTTCGCAGGCAGGCTGTCCAGCTCTGGGCGCTGTGCGCGCAACTGTCTGATTCACTCTGTGCCCAAAACGGGTTCATTCTTATCCTGAAACCCCACTCTACCCCCTCCCTTTTCTCAGTGGGCGTTTGGGTACTCACCCGGGACCTTGACCTGTCCCCCTGGTGCGCTGCGGATCTTGGGTCTTAGGCTCCAGGTTCCGAGGTTGCACCCTTCTTCACCTCATCAGCAGACCGGGTAGAGGAAGGCAAGCTGAAGACTGGGCAGGGGGCGGCCTGGCCTGCTAGGGTGGAACAAGCAGATAGGCGCCTGCAGCCCCCAGCAGACGCCCCAGTCTCGGAGCCCACAGCCTTGCAGAGATTGTTGGGGGTAGGCGGAGACGTCTGTTTGGCGAGGAGGAGGGGATGCCGCGTTGAGTCATCCTGGTCCCCAGACCAGGGTCCAGGACGCTGGAACCCTTTAGGCTGTAAACAGTTAAGGCCTAGGTGGGCAGGAGGAAGGTGTGGGCCTCCGGAGAATCAGTGTGCCCCTGCAATTCAGCATCGTCACTGCCAATTCCAGGACCGCTTGACAGGGCTGCCTGTGCACGTCAAGTCTGTAAACAATCTTTACTCCTCCTCTCTCCCCGCCTCCACTCTGCTGAGTCCTAGTGGCTCCAGCACTTGATTAATTACTTTGCTGCTCAGGACCATGATTTCCACTGGTAGTTTTAGGTGCTAACGCACACCTGGTCTCTTTGGAGACCGAGACTGGGCTTCGGAAGAGACAGCGTGAGTTATGATACCGCGTTTATATATTGCGTTTAATTTGCAAGCTGCCTTTTTTGGAAAAAAGGGCCTAAAGATGTCTTTAAATTAAGTGAGCTTTTTGTATGTTCAGCCTTAAAGGAGCTTCAAAACCTCTACCTCTTTGTCTTCCTTCTGGGCTATTTCTTTCCTCCGCAAACTTATCATTTCTGAAGTCATCACAGATTTCTGACACTTTGCCCGGTAATTCCTCTGGGAAAATCTTTTCTTTCTTATTGTAACCCACTCCCCGCCCCACACCCGTCAGTTTTGCTGAATGCCCTCTCAGATGAGCTGTGCTTCTTTTCTGAACACCCCTGCTCTGGCCCTCTTATCTTCCCTCTCCTTAGGGGTCTTCTCAGTCTCTGCTGGGCCCCTGCCCTGGAGTCTAACTGCCACACTGTTCCTAAGATGATTTTTTTTTTTTTTTTTTTTTTGTATTGGGGATCGAACTCATTACCATGCTCTTGCAAAGCAGGCACTTATGCCGCTGAGCTAAATCCCCAGCCTGTTCCCATGATTTTTGTAGCTCTCCCTTGCCCAGTGAGCACTCACCATTTATACTACACAGCTTACCTGGCTCAGAGCCACATGCCAGTCTCCTCTCAGATATCTGCTCACCGAGTTCCTACATTTCAGGCCGTCTGCTTTATGCTCCTTTCTCTGAATTCTGTCCCCCAGCTTCACAGGCTCCAAACAGCTTTTTTAAAAAAGCGTAGTTTCGCGTCCTCTTCCCCAGGACTTGCTGTCCCCCATCCTGTCCTGGACTCCACCTGTGTCTCAGGATGCTGCTTGTGTCCACCTTCGTGTACAAGTTCTTGGCTACATTCCTTTCAGTTTTTCCTAACCAGTCCGGAGAACACCTATCAATTTCTCTCCCACGCTGGATTCTTGAATACTGTACATCATTAGTCCATATATTGGAATCATTGGTCACTTTAACCAAGAAAAATACTTGTGCCCAGAGACCGTTTGATTTTGATACCACATTGGTGCCATTTTTGGAACACTTCTGCTTGTACTGTGGCAAGCACTTATTTAGATAGTATTTTAGCCAAATCCTCACTACAACTCAGTTCTTGAAACAATCCATTTCACTGACAGTGATACTGAGGCTTTGAGAACTCACAGCAGCTGAATGGTAGAGTTGGAGTTCTACCTTTCTGCCCTCCATTCTGATCCACTGGCCAGAGATTGTGCCTGTCTTCCCAAAGAGAACTTCAGGGTCCTTGCTCTTTCTTTAAAGCACTAGACTATAGTTAGAGTCCTGGACTCTGCACTGGCTCCTCTATCACTGAAGGGGAATGTCAGTCGAGAGGCTTTTTTCTTGTGCCTGGTTTTGTTCATTTACCGGTTGTAGGTGGCAGGTCTTCACTGAAGCAGTGCAGACACTTTCTCAGTATTGGGGTCTCCTGTCTGCTTCACATGTCTCCTGTGTGTTCCCTGCTCTGTGCGTGGAGAACACCAGAGCTGCGAATGACAGCAGACAGAGGTGCCTGACAGGCTGGGTGGCGACAGATGTGTTAGTTTTTTTTTTCCCCCTACTAAGCAATCACTCAGTTTCTTGCTTGGATCACATGAGAGCTAGTGTTTCATTTTGTTTTGCTTTTAAACCAGTGCTTCCGCTGTCACATGGAGAACTACTTTTAAATCCAGATTCTGAACCTCACCTCTACAAATTCTGAATCTATAAATCTAATTATAAAAAACTCCCCAGACACTTTTGATGCTGCTTGGGTTTAGGAACCAGTGTCTCATGTTTGTGGTTCTTATGCTTTATCAAGAGAAAGAATACCTGGGAGTTCATTAAAATCATAACCCCCAAGCCCTACCCAGGAGCTCAGGTGTGGGGAGTACGCAGTTACTTGACTTTTCCAGCAGCTTTGGTGCTGCTGATGTTAGGACGGTGATTTTTCTGTGTGCTTAGGAAAGGGTAGAAGGCAGAAGCCTTCCAGTGTGTGAAACGGGAGAGTGGAGGAGGAGATGAGAACTCAGTTTCTTCCTTTAGCACTACTGACTGGCACGGTATAGGATAGGATGGTTCTTGGTGTATTCATTATACTTGGTTTGGGCAGTTCAAGGCTGAGTCATGTTGGATCATTGTAAGACAGTGAATGGGGAGGGGAGGAGAAAAAGTGATCATTTTCAAGTGTTTAGTCGGATGGATAAAGCAAGCTGAAGCCTGGGGTTAGAGACCAATACCAGCAACAAGACACTGCTACATGATCTAAGTCCCTGCAAGGTGTCAGAACCCTTTGCTGAGCACATTATTTGGGTTATCACTTTTAATCTGCATGACTAACTTTTACAGAAAGCATCTTTATCTCCAACTGACAAGCAAAAAACCTGAGTCTCATAGCAGATGGGAGGGTAGGTGTGGTGTTGAGATCAGAAGCAAGGTTGCTTCAACCCTGGTGCCCATCACATCATCCTCCCCAGGTGTACAAGGGCTGCAGGTGGTAGCACCAGAGCACACTGTGGCAAAGCTGGGCTTCCTGAACTTGAATCCGTGAGAAGCTTCAGTCAGCCAACTTCTTCCCCTTGAGCTCGGATGTGTCTCTAGCTTTCCAGGCAGCCTTAATACTTAGACTTGCTTTTCCAGCATCCTGTAGGAATAATATGACTGAAATTTGAATGCCTTGAAGAGCAGGCACAATAAGCTAGAGTGAAATAAACCACTTCTCTGCATATGTCACAGCATTTTATATTTAAGCAGCCCTCGTGGGAAGAGGGATTGACTAAGATGGCCCTGTCTCTAATTAGACTTATGCCTTTGTTTTTTTTCCCACTCATTGGCTGGCTTATGTTAAAATCACTTCCTTGTCTCTTTTTATTTGCAGCTGGGCACATTCCGGTCCCATGATGGAGATTATTTTATTGAACCACTGTTGTCCATGGATGAACAAGAGAATGAAGAGGAGCAAAACAAACCCCATATTATTTATAGACGCAGCGTCCCCCAGAAGGAGCCCTCCACAGGAAAGCATGCCTGTGACACCTCAGGTATGTACTTTTTGGTTAAGCAGAGATCCTGGCTGTCAGTTGAGTTGTCTGCCATCCTGTGGGAGGTAGCACTTTTGCAGTCTGTCAAGCATTATTACCCTGCTATCCTCTCCTCAGTCCTCCTGTGAGGTAGATGGGTGCTCCGTGCAGATACGGAAACTACAGGGGTGATTAGTGGCTTGTTGAAGGCTGCACAGCTAAGAATTTACAGGGTCAGAATTTGGATGCCAAGCAGTGACTCCGGTGCCCTTGGGTCAGGGCTCTCTTTTCTGCCGAGATTGCTTGTTAAAAGACTTAAAAGACTAAGCTTTGGTAATTTCTTGAGGCCATGATAACAGTATCCATGATCAGGAATTGCTTACAGTTTATTTGTGTCTGCTGTTCATTTGTTCTTGTAGATTTTTTACCATGTAGAATTACAAATAATCTTGTAAACAAGAACATACATGTTTGTTAGAATTTCATCTACCGACTCCAATTTTGTTCATGTTCTGTGCTTTCGAGAGATACAGCAGTGGACCTGTGGGGGCTCTGTTAGTTGAAGTTCAGGCAAATTCTTGGGTGCCCACTGCTGGGTTTCCTTCCATTCCAGCCAGATTGCTGCAGATTTGGCAGCAGCTGTCAGGCCGCTCTAGGGATGAGTCAGTGGATGCCTGGGAGAACTCATCCTTGCCTGTGTTTCTCAACCCGTCACTGTCTTCCATGTCTGGTTGATTGCTACCTAATGATAGTTACTATGAGAAATTGCCCCTCATTTGGACCCCTGTTTTAGTATGTTTGTTAAAGTGTTCTCAAAAAAAGCCAAAAATGCGTGGGCTTTCTGTCTCTTGAATCATGTTTTTCTCACTGTTCTTTATTATAGTTTCTTGGGGTCTTTATGATACCTCCAAGTCAGATCCAGATTCACGGCCAACAGTGATGTTCTCGGAAGCTTCTCAAAAGACCACTGGCTTTATTGTCTGTATCCAGTTCTGTTGTGACAGCATCTGGTGCTTTTCTCTTGGAAGTGCTATCTAAAGAGAATCCATTAGTAAATGCTAGCATTAGCTGCTCTGTGAGGGAAGTAGCCAGGTCTAAGGGCATCATGAGTCTTTGGGCTCCCTGTGATCTTACCGCCAAGGCTAGAAGGAAAGGAACCAAAGTCATGTCAGTTAGACTCAAGCAACTGGAGAGCTGGGCTGGATGCTATACTCAGACACAGTGGTTCTAGGAGCTCTCATGATATGCACCTTGCTGGGCACCATTCGATCTCATGAGCAAGTCTTTGTCATGTGTTTTGGCCATCCTGTTACAACCATCAAACTTTACTTCCCAATCTCTACTAGCAAGAAGGTATTTTAAATGTAAATCTATGTGTAACATGAGCTAGAAAGGAACTACGTAGTTTTTCCCTTCCTATATATATTGATAAAATCATTGAAGAGTAATGTTTGATGGCATTCTTCTGCCCCAAAGTTACTACAACACAACGTTTTAAAAACTGTGGTACATTGTTTTCTCATTCCTGTTGACATTGTGCAAAGTGTGTTCCCTCCTCGATTTCACTCAATCTTTACCACCCACTTACAGGCTCAGTCAGTCCCATTCTTACCTCCTTGACAGCGGTAAAGAAGTTGAGACTGAGGCCCAGGGGGTCAGAGAACTGTCTGAACTCCAAGGCCCCATCCAAGGGAACCCGGGCTTGTCTTATTCCTTGACTCACATAGGCTGTGCCAGAGCCTGTGAGGTGGGGTACGTCTCAGCACTGGCTTTCGAGAAAATATGCAGGAATCAGTTTAAGTTAGCAGATACTCAGTTCTGGGCTGGAAGACAAGTCATTGTCACATCCTATTAAATGCATAAGGAAGAACATTTTTAAAATTTAAAGATTGAGGACAGTGGAACATGCCTTCTTTTTTCACAGGCACTTGAGAAAAATGCCTCGCGTTCATTTTGCTTCTGGTATTTGCTGGATGGTGGGCCATGTGGCATGCACCTCCCCTCCTTCACCTGTGTGGTGAATCCAGGGCTCAGCATTTGGGTTGGCTCTTGCAGACTCTCCTTGAACTCTGTTCCCCTTGGCTCTCCCTTCCAGCTGTTTCTGCACCCCTTTGGATCCAGGTGCAGGAGGATCAGAACTTTGGAGTATACCATGATTCACCAGCACCATTGTAAGGATGGGCCAACAAGGCACAAAACCCGCCAAACCTAGGCAACTGGTGCAGGGCAGTGAATATAGATTGGGAGCAGGAGTAGCTCCTCCTGCGGGGGAAAGAAATTGTCTCGCTGAACAATGCATTCAGCACCAGTGCTTTCTCTCCCAAGCAAGAGCTGTGGTTGGTAAACTCCAGTACAGCTCTGCAGAACCTGGGAGCCTCACACAAAGCAGGTTCTTCAAAAAACAACAACTAATCCACCTAGCAGAGAAATGAGATGGAGCCAGAATGAAGATCTCCCTAAGTGCTCTGAGTGACTGAGGTGTTGAGCTAGCTCTGAGTATCTGCGGAAGTTGGGTGAAGGCAGTGGTCACCCCCCAGCTTCTGAGTTCTGTGTACTTGACTTCCAATGTCAGTGCTTTCTACACTTTTTCTCTCGCAGAGTGGTGGACTGCTCAAGCTGGAGGAAACCATAGCAGTCAGCTCTCCCAGACACTAGTTCTGCATAGGAAACAACGTTGCAGGATGTCAAGTTAGATACTGTTTCCAGTGTGATGCTGTCTATCTTTACTGCCACCCACCCCTGCAAAACTTTCCCACGCTGTGCTTGGAAGCCAGCCCCACAAAGTCCCTGCTGACCTCCCTGCCTGTGTCTGTGACTGCTGCTGTGGGAAGCAGGCAGAGCAGGGCAGGGCAGGGCAGGGTAGGGCAGGGCAGGGCACCCTGGCTGTTGAATGCTGCAGTGTACAAATGGAAGCCTTGCTTATTTCCGAGTCTTGGTGTATCATTTTTAGAAACAGCTTGTGAGATAGCTCAAAGCCATCTGTCAAGTTTAATGTAATAGAAAGTTTGTGGGTTTAGAAAGGGTCCTACAACCTTGTGTATTCATTCATGTGTGTGTGTGTTTTTTATGTAGCCACCTAGTGAACAACTCCTTTGCCAGGAGGATAAACAAGGAACTGCCCGTATTCTAACTATTTGGGTGATGGATGCCAAACACATTTTAGGAGACAAACTAAACATAATGTGGACCTTCTGCTTGACCTAATTGAATATGAAATAATGCAGGCTTTGAGGGCAGAATTTAGCAGATGGTAGGCAATTACTGAATGATAATTTTTTAAATAAATTAATGAAAATGGAAAACAAAACTCTGCAGTGAGGGAATGAAAACTGAAAACACCAAGCCCAGAGGTGATCAAGTAGAGCTTTCAGGGAACCGATACTGGGAAGGTTTATGGTGCTTGCTCTAGCTGTCCTGCAAGTCAGCAGCAGGCTGGGTGCTTTCTGCCCCAGTTTTCCTGTGTCCAAGACAGCTTGTTAACACTGGAGAGTTTGAAATTGGCCACTTTACCGCCCTTGCTGGATTGGCTCTGCTTTACCATCCTCAGCTATGTGTATGTACATGTGGGATCCTTTGAGTGTTTATTTGCCTTTCATTCTGTTTGTCAGTTCTCCGGCAGTGGGCTCGTCTTCCTACAGCACACCTTGGTGACTGCCAAGTTCCTTGCTACTGGCCCTTTAGGCACACACACTGAGCTTGCGGTCTGCAGCTCCACGCTCCAGAGGTTCCCCGGGCAGCCTGGTGGGAGACCAGGGGAGAGCACGTTGCTCTGGCGAGTGGTTCTGCTGCTACTGTGCACTGCCAGTTTCTAGTTGAAACCCTTAGTTGTGCCTCCATTTGACCCTGACTTCCACAGAAGGAGTTGTGGTTCTTATCAAGGAGCAAGACAGCCTTTCTGGCAGGGTTGTGTGTGAGAGAGACAGAGGAGGACATTGAAGGCCAGTGGACAACACCGTGTTTTCCTGTTACAGAAACTTCTCCTTCATCCACCCCTCTCAGCAAAGCTGGTTGTTTTTTGTTCCCTGGGGCATTTAAGGATTATACATCCCCTGACCTCTCAGTCCCATTTCTAAGGAAACAGATGGACAGTTGTATGAAGGTGTTTCTGAGCTACTCAGTAGTAGGTTGTTATAGCAAAAGCAAGAAGGAGCCCACCGGCCCCCAGGAGGAGCCAGTAACTATGGTGCAGACCGTGATGGGCCCCCCTCTCCGGCTGTGAGATGCCAGCTCTGGTTCACCACAGCACACACGAGAGCACATGCATGAGCCAGTAATAAACTCCTGTGTGTGCGAGAGACAAGGCCATCTTTTAAAATGGTAAGGTGTGTAAAGAAAGAAAAATGGAAGCGGAAGCATACAAATAATAACTGATTATTTCAGGTTGCCAGGAACATAGACAGTCTTTTAAAGTCTTGTGTTCTTGTGTATTTATGCTCTTTTGCTGTGATTCTGTAACAGTTTCATAATTACAAAATACAGTTTGCACATGAGGATAGGGGCTTCTAGGTATTTTGTAGCCCATGACACTTGTCACTGGAGACCAACCGCTGATGCAGTGCTGTCTCTGACTGAAGATTCGAGGCTTTTCTTTTCAATAGCTTCTCAATCAGACAGCTAACTGTGGCTACAGCTTGGGAGGCCCAGAACCGGTTGGAGCTGGGTCTTTGTCTCAGTTCAGCTAAATGACCTCCCACCTAATAGACCTGAGTTGGCCACAGTTTGGGGAACACACCCTGGCTTCCTGCTGGGCTCTAAGCCTGCCAGCAGGAAAGCCAAGGACACACAAGGGGAGATTTGGAGCCCTTGTGTGTCTGGGCTGTTAGGTGCCTGTCCATGTTGCACACACTGTGTTTTGTAGTACAGGCCTTCAGCTCTGTGGGATATGGATTAGTACCCTGTCTTACCGTTGAGAAACATTACAACTCAGAGAGAATGAGCAATCTGTCTAAAGTCACAGAGCTGATAAAATGGGTCTGAGCTTTGAACCCAAGGCCAGTGCCATTGTACTCGATGTTACGCCA